TTGTAAATAGAATTTACAACCTTTAAAATGTAAAGCATTTGCTGTACATTCGGTGAATAATGGCTGTGGATATAATGCATATAATATTTGATTTATAATCTGTCAGGGATAAAATGCATAATTCAAAAATTAAATACGAACATTTTTCATATTGCACTAAAATTGGTAAAAGCTGATGCTGACCAAAAACGATACTCTCTCACTCTATCGTGCACACACAAAACCGAGCGCACAACATATGCACTTTGCATATCAAAATAAATTTATCAAACAAATTGTGAAAAATAAATTGTGTGAAAAAGTTCAAACTCTATATTGCCATCGGAGAAATAATTCAATGGACGGGGTTTCTCCGAATTTTCATAATACATATGAAACTTATGCTCAGATTAATGCAAGTGAGATGCACAGAGCTTCATATCTACGGCGACCACACTCAAACATAAACAGTCAGTGGAGCAAAACTGAATCATTTATTTGCTAGAAACCACTTGCTACTCTCTATATCTCTCACACTGCAATCATCGCGGTGGCAAGCTATTGGTAATCTTATGCATTTTTTTATACTATAAAAATAATAATTGTATATTATATTTGAATTATATGAGGGGTTAAAAAGTGATTCCATATACAATATACATACATACAACACTTGGCTGATTTATCTCGATTATAAGTCTTTAAAGCTATTCTACAATTTTGCATTAACATAAACGTCCAGTTAATGGATCATGTCATCGATTTTTATAAAAATAAGGTTCTATATTATAATAACGGTGTCCATTAAAGTCGAATTTCTGAAAGAAAATTTGAATCTTTGCCAAATTAATTCGAATTTCTCAACTACTTGTGACATTTTTGCAAAACGAAGATCTATTCGACCGTAAAAAATCCCAGGAAATCAAAAGAAGGTATCCTCAACTTCGAGGGGGTAACACATTGCTAGGAGGGGTAATCTGTCCCCTCTAACTCATGGTTAGAAAGTATGACTGTCGCCTGGGGAGGGGTCAACTTGGATGATTTAAAGGGGTTTCCGGGCTTACTCACCCCCTTTGACCATGTATGTTGCAGAAGTGATTTCCGAAAATCTCTTTAAATTTGGTAAAATCTCTTCATCCATATTCTCTTATTTGCAGCTCTTTGCGTCGATATTGGTTTTATAATTTGAGTTGAAGTGAACTCAATCCAATTTATGATTGAAAGTTGAAAAAGAATTTTAGAAAAGACACTGATAATAGTCTCCCGGAAAATGACAAGAATGATGTTTCAACCGAAAGAGAATTGATAGGAATGGCTTAATTACATTTGATCTAGATTCAACTGGAATATTTTCATCAAAAATATTCCTTGACTTGAGTATATTATAAAGCTCAATTAGATTGTGATTACAAACAAATTTTGAGACTGGATCATTTCATATTACATATATGAAAAAGAGTATTTGTGTATAATAAAAGATCCACTCTTACTTGATTCGTTGGTAACATAATTGCGATAATATTTCCAAATGAGAAGCATATTGATTGCCATGCATTTGTTAGTTCTCGTTGTCCGTCTAGTGCAATGAATGAGTCGAAAAAGAAATGGAAAATGACAAAGTCGGCTAATGGAGCCGAGATGTAGAGAATAAACTTACATCGCTTAAGGATTTTCACCCATAAATCAATGCGAACGATATAAAATGGATTCTCACGCTTATGCAGTTAAATTGTAATAAATTTACGCTGAAATACCGGCATGGGAACTGTGTGTGTCTGTATCTATACCGTGTAATATAGTCCTTGAACGGCAAACGCGTTTATTATTTCATTTGGTCGTATAAATGCATGGGCTATCTACAATTTCGTTCGGTCTCTCAAATCGAATTTATGAAGCTCAGCAGAAATGTGTTGAAAACAAATTTGAAATGTACACAATCTCAGCATACGCACGCCAACTGAAAGACGAAAAAAATAATACTATCAGCAGTACACTTGTTCATGTATGTGGTGTTAAAATGAATATTCGGAAAATTGTGTTCGCATCCATTCACATGCAAAGATATTGAAGCAAACAGACGACATAGCATTAATTGGTGGTAAAGTGGCAGTAAAATCATCGTCATAAATGTAAATTGCAATTAATGTCAATAAAACACATTAAATGGTTTTCACTGGTTCACATCGAATTTTATATGTTACATTGTTATTTCCTTGGAAAATGGAGAATAGCCAGCTCGTATAAAAATATAAAACATCACTTGGTAAAACTTTATCCACCGCACGTACAGTACACACATTGTGCGAAAATACACACACTCTCTCTCTCTCTCTCGCTCTCGCTCGCTTTCTCTGTAGCATCTGCCGTGGGGCTTTTTACATCTGCCAACATTTGCGGTGTGCCATTTATTTGAATGTGCAAAAGAGCTGAACAAAGCATTATATCTCCTGATTGCTTGACAAAGTAACCAATTCACCATCGATTTTTTTTATGCTACTCGGCTGCATTTAATCAATTTGAATTTCGCTTGCATTCCATTTCACCAATGAAAACTACTACCTTTTCTACCCATTCTATTTTATTGTATGCATTTTGTAATTCAAGCTTATTGCTGAATTTATGTGTAATATATTATTTTAAATATACATTCGACCGAACAAAGATTATTACAAAATTGACTCTTCCAGTCGAAAATAGACATTTTTACTTTGGAAGATTCATTTTGGACGTTTTATTCAGAAAGCTTACTTTACGATTCAAATTTAACTATATCCGGTAATACGCTGTATTCTATTTCGGGAACAGTAGAGAGAAAAGCTCTCATTGAAATCTAATTCATTTTAATAATGGATATGTCGTAGTTTTTGAAAGTTACTATTAAAATCCATTATAGTTCACTTTATGACATTTCCGGTTGCTATTTGTAAAATTGAGATGCAAATCAAACATGTCATGACTGTGAACGTATGAACAGACAGATTTATTCAATATCTACTGATTTTGAAGTGCAAATAAAAGATAAAATTTCGATGCTATTTCAGTTATAAACTGCTCTAAAGTTCATGCTGTTTCTATAAATATCTCGCTTTTACAAATTCATCAGCCCTTAATCATGTATGATGTACATACGACCAAATGTATAAGTGATAAAACGTGCACTGAACATGAACACACCGACCGTTGTGTATTTTTTTATAACCCATTGATATAATGGAATTGGCTTGGCTTGAATTTCAAAAATTCATATTGCTTTATGATTTTTATGCCAAATGTTTGCCAGGTCTGTCGTTCATATGTTTTGTACACTGATTTTCAGCAATGCAATCTGATTTCACCACAAAAACTTCTCCGCCCGACTTCTCCGCCTCAATTCAAAAGTCAAAAGCATGCGCATTGGTTCGTTGCCCCTGTGTCAGACGGTGTTTGGACCGGTTGAAAGTGCATTCGAAATGTTCAAGTGAAATGTGTTCATTGTAACACAATGATAATCAGTAGTCGCTTGTTATTTGACCGAATAGCACAGATAACATTTGGTCCGGGGTTTTTTTTCTCGTGCGATTGAATACCCATTATCGTCGTTTGGTTTGTGGTCGTTATAAATTCATGCGATTTGGAAAGCCCATTCTTCATACAGCGCATTACTAATTTATATTGAGGCAAAGCACAACAATGGAACTATCGAAAACCATCGTATGAATTAGTGGCTCTTTTCGGGTTAATTATACATCACGCCTAACCGTAAATCGATAATAATACTTAGAAACCATCGATTCCACTAGTATGTATCAATTAAAATTAAGAAATTATCAACCAAATATGCTTCGAAATTGAAAACACAAACACTTCTTCACATTTCAACTGAATTTAATAAGTGTAAACAATTCCGAAAAACAAAAGGACATTGAATATTAAAACAGTGTTATGTTCAATAGTTTTGATCTAATTAATTATTGATCGACAAATTAAAATTCCATCAATCAAAAATTCATATCATAAACAGTGTTCTTCTTGAAAATTCGCTGAGTTTCACTCGAATTTAGTAATGAAATACAAGAAAAAAGTTAGCAAACCATAGATGATTAATAAAAAAAAGACAGAAAACATCAACAGTTTTTGAGGCTTATAGCGGGCCAACAAAATATAATTCCAAAGTTGAAACAAACCAAACAACTGACAAAAACATTTAACTGTTCCATATCAATCAAAACCGTTAAGCCGTGTTTTCAGCAAACGAACTTTTTGTGGTTAGGGAATTTTTGCTGTCCATCGTAATCAGCTCCAGACATTGATTTGATGGGGTGAAAGTGAAACGGAAAAATAAATAATCGCATTAAGTAGACTCGCAGACTGTCAGACTTATCAAATCGAAGTAAATTGACTAAAATGGAATTATCACGTTCAATTCATAAAATTGTGTGTGAATTCATTGTTAACCATCCATCAAGAATCGTTATTGTTATGAAAGCTGCCATTTAATATCGCATCAGGTTCAAAAACGGAAACTAAATAGACAAGATTGGACGGTGCAAAATAAACGAAAGAAGTAAAATCTACATTCTTATTATCCCCAGAGTGTCCGGAGAAATTCCGCGTAACTCATGCTGACCACTCGGTGTGGCATGAGATCACCATTCCAACGACACTTGCATATATTAAATATTTCAATGGAAAATACGAACAAAATTCATAATTATGTCAAACACCTGATGTATACAATTATGGTTTTATAGAAATGAAAACTTTTCAAAACGTAGCAGAGATACTGAGTTTCATCAAGTGCAAATTCCTAGAGAATCGTGTTAAAATCTATATACATCATTAAATTAAATAAATATGAACAGTGATCACATCATTATTCCATTAAAAATGATTGTAAATAAGTAGAGCATACACAATAGTTGAACCGGGCGATATTATTACGTTCGTGGTGTTGTGCATACTTTATGATTTTTGAATAATAATCATAATTATACCCGTGAACATATGGAAAATTGAAACTGAAAAACCGCATGAATGTTTTTGCGATGAAATTCTCTTACGCAGTCGCATATTTGAAATATTATGAGTGAAAAATGGCTGGTGTTTAAACAATTTTCAAATTAAAAGCACCAAAAACTGATTCTGCAGGAAACAAAAAACTGATAAACTATCGAAAACCGAAACCGAGATTCCGTGCTAATTTAAATGCAAACAAAAACGAAATGCCAAACAAATTCTAATTGAATAAAAAAGTTTTTGTTCAACGAATTAAACAGAGCACACTGTCAAAAATGGTAAAATGCAATTAAGGAAAATGGATCAGCGTTGGAAATACACCAAACAAGACACAATAGTAATAAACTAAATTTCAGTCGCTTTTTTGCTTCCTCTGAAATTGTCTATAGATACTAAATACATTGAGTTCGTTGCATTGTTGCAACTATGACCCGGGAAAAAAATAATGTTATTAATTAACATAAATCAGTGAGATTCTACTTTGTTTGTGTGCAGTTTTTATTTCTATCGTTGCACCAAAGTATTCTCTAGTGAGCTCATATTTTAATGAGAGTAACATTCGATATGAAGAAATTTCGCCAACGCAATGTGAACGATGGAATGTTATAATAAATTTAAAAAGGTGCAACTTGGATATGCACATGTGTGAAAACAATGAGAAAAGGCAAGAGCATATTAGCGAAGCTTTAGAAAATTAAATCTCACAACTTTTTTTTTTCATAAATTCAAATTGAAAACGACAAGTGCGTTGTACAATCAAAGCGTATTCGCAATCGAGACTGAGCGCCAGAGTAATGACAAAGTTAGGAACATCGGTTAACTACATTTAATAACAAGAGAACATAAAAATAATAATCGCACATTAAAAAGAATTACTTCGATAATTGTGTGCAAAGTGTGGAAATAGAACGGAAACAAAACGGAAAACGATACGGAATAATTGTTTTTTTCATCTCGTTAGAACGAATGGTAAGTATTACGGGAATTTTTTTTTGTTCGTTGTCGTTTCAATTACGTACCTCCCTCACAGTTTGCACTCGAATATCATTCATTGCGGTCTAATGATATTTTCTCTTATGCTTGAGCAGATGAGAGAGAAAGTAAAAAACCGCACGCCGGCATAAATGCAAATGGCAAAATTCACCCCCTCGCAACCAACATCTAACATTTGCAATGGAAATTCATAATGAGAACATTATAATATTCTTTTTTTTATTTGGAATTTCCTTTCACAAATCAATTTTGCAAGCGCAAATGTTAATAATATGGCATTCGTGACATTCAAACCGTCAGCATTTAAACGATATTTACCTGTATGCATGAGAATAATACAATTTTCCATTTCGACGGGGTCTTCGGCAACGGCTTTTTTTCTTCTTCTTAATATCATTTCCTTTTATTCTTTGCTAGTTTTGCGCTTCTTTTTTATCCCTCTCGCAAATGAATGCACACCATGAATGAGGAGAAAACGAACAAAAAAAAATTATATAAAAAAGAGGAAACAAATAAAACATAAATTCGAGTCTAACGAGTGCACATATACAATAAAATTATGATAATGTTGTATCTAGATTCACGAGCATCGTTACGTTTTTGTGGTATGTGTTGGAAGTTGATGCTTTTGTGGGAGGATAAAGTACAGTATTCGGTTGAAAGGAAGCAAAATAGGAACTTCATTCGCAACAAAGCCACGGAGTAAAAAAAATGTTGTTGTTTTTTTGTCATAGCATGTGACTGTAATAATGTATATACATGAAGTGAGACGACCTAAATATGTTTGTGATGTCAGCAACCAAAATAGTGAAATAAACTAAATATCTTGCATAACAAACAAATGAGAAATTATTATCACAAGTATTCGCCTTCAAAAGTATTTCTCAAGGATTGGTGTTGGTATGATATGTCTGAATCAGACACGCTCCAAAAGCACCAAACGATTTTTTTTCTCTCCTGTACCATGGTGCCAAAACAGCAAACGAACCCGAAAACTCTTGAAAATATCATCACGTATGCAATTTATCATTGTGCACAGCTTCGGATGTGCGTATATGGATGATGGTGCACACCTATCAGCCTTTTTTGTATATTTCTCTCTTACTCGCTTCAGTTTCTATATGTGTGTGATTTGCGTTAACGAAAAGCCTGAATGGTCGCAAGGCTTTTTTCCGCTCCTTCCGCTTGCCGTTGCTATTCGATTGTGAAAACCTTACCCCCAAAAATGTATGGGATATTCAAAAAGAAGTGTTTTTTTTCGCACTCTGACCAAAAGAACCCACAAAAAAATTGTGTATTTCATGTCCGTTACTTGAAAATCCTTATCGCCAGGAGACCAGTCGCCCGTTCTTTCAGCTAAACAGCAAAACGATAAGAACGAGAAAAGAAAAAAAAAACATATAAATAATACAAATAGATATGCCACATCGAACGAACTGTTTTAAAGATGTGTTTCTTTATAGCTTGGTCTTGTCGTGCTTACCGTTGCTGAGCAAGAATCGGTTTGGCGCTACGTTGTTTACATTTTTCTTGCTTGCATCTCAAGTCGCACGGCTTAAAGCTTATGACCAAAACTCGGTACACTCGACCATTGAATACACGTTTGTACGCGCACACAAAAGACCGAGAAAAATTCATTCGTTCCAGTTTACATTCAGCTAAAAGTGTTTAGTTGAAATTGAAAACTCCTTGGTGTATATTTTGTTATCCTTAAAACTTGTTAGATAAATATTTCTTTTCTTATTCGTTCAACTTTCGACTCATCTCTCTCTCTCTCTCTATTGCTCTACATTTTTCTACTCATTTTTATCATCGGTTATTTGCTTTAGAAATGTTTCAGTAGTTCACAAGTCATAACCTACGGGATTACTTCGTGGTTCTTTTAATCGAGGATTCCATGTGTCTGTGTAAGCTTATATGCTTCGTGAAATGTTTTGCTGTTTCACACATTCACACTCGCATATGATTGTCATCCCATATTTTATTCGGCTTGTCATCGCGTTAAACATTCCACTGAAAAATATTCACCAACTTGATGGAATATCATTTGCATTTTAACGATTATTTATGATCGAACACGCGTACAAACAAAAATTATTGATGCATCATTTCACGTGAATTGAACATATGTGGCTCAGATTCTTTTTTCGTTTTTTTTTTTGTCTGCTTGACGTTTTGTACATAATTTATGTATTTTTCGTCCATTTCATTTACAAGTTGGTTCACTCTGGGGGAATTTGAATCTCGAACTTTTCAGTTTTTCGAATGGGAAAAATTGCAACAACAACATTTTTCATTGTTTGCAATGCTATCTGGTTATGTTTTAACTCACCACACATTTATCTTTTTTTACACTCCACATTGAGCCAAATAATTGAATGACCTTAAAATATTTTAAGAAATCCAGCAGCTTGTTCCATTGTAATTGATCAGAACGTTGAAATTTCAACAGTTACAATACAAAACTTTCGTTCATGCTCTCATTAGATTTCTAAATTATCTAATCTTCATTAAATAAAAATAAAATTCCGAACAAAAGATTCAACACACAGGAAAAGAGAAAAAAAAAGTCTGAACAATATAAAGTTTAATTCCCGTACTTTATTCTCGTGCTGATTGCAATCTCGAACGTAGAGTAGCATCTATTTTATATTCGCGTTTCGTTCCAGGCCACTCTACTTCATGTATCGCTGTGAGTATTGCAAACGTAATTTGAAAACTTTATTTTCAAGTTTTTGGATCGGTTTTCGTTTCCGTTTCTCCTACCTTCAATTTTAAAGGCCGAAAGTGATTTTGAACTATAAACTTTCTAAATTGACCGGACTACATCTACATCGCCAGTAAATTGGTGTAATTGTTTTCCGCTTTATTTTTCACGACGAGGAATACGACATCCTTGTGCTTGTAATTACGTCGAATTAATCAAAGTTTCATTGAATATCTTTTCATATCTTGGCATCGAACGGTGCTGTAAAAGGAAGATGAAACTACATGAACAGGAAAGTCGAATTTGTCTCGAACTTAAATAGTTCGACGTTATTGGACTCAAATAAATCCATTGGAATAAGATTCAATATGTTTTTGGTGTCAAAAGTTCGGAAGAGAAAGAAAGAGGCAGAGAGAGAGAGAAAGGAGAGAAAGGGTGCAAGAAGAATACTACAAGAAAAAGTCATTTGTTTATTTAACTCATCGCTGTGCGACACAATGTATCAATTGTTCACGTGTTCGTCTGTCGAAATGAAGGTGTTTCCGGTAATTTAGTGCCATTGTTGAAAAACAATGGGTGCATTTTAAGGTGGAGACCATTACATTAATGCTCAATAAAATTCGAATGGCATTGTGACTTTGGAAATCGAGTGACATTATTACGTTTCAAAGCGTGTGATATCAATGATGCTTTATCCAATATAAGGAGAATCGTTGAATGGCATTTTTATAAGTAGCCATTTTCGGTTTTCCGTCAATAAAACCGGCATTGTTATTGCGGAAAAAGGATTTAATTGCCGTAAAATAAAATTTGATGCGCGAAAAGGGGTGCATTATTATCGTATGAATTGGAAATGCCCTCGTTCATAGTGGTTGTTTCATACCCATTATTCAATGAAGCGATACAAAAAAATACATATCAAGAATTGTCTAATGGCATGCTGAAAAAGTTTATCGTTTATGTGCGTAAAAGAAATCGTAAGCGAGTCATTGTTTGAATTTTCATTGAAATTATTTAGATTTGGTTAACCGCAATTTTGTGCTGTGCAGTAAAATGATCATGGTAAATTAGCTAAATGAATGAATTTTTGTTTTTTTTGGTGTCATTGTCGAATGGAAGTGGGACATCACCTAAACAAATGCGCATTGAATACGTTTCGTTTTGTCGCAGCCGAGACCATTTTCGGTTGCGCATACTGTTAATGACATTATAAATCGGCGGTTGTTTGTTATTCGCCTCTTTTGTTCGATTAAATCCGGTGTGTGTGCGTCATGCAGAACAATCGACATTTGCTTTTGGCTTTGCTTCATTAATGAAATCACAAACGCTAACCGCTTCATTCATCGACATTCAACGGCAGCCACGAATGAATACAAATTATCAACTACCACATTATGTGAACTCCATCCGCAGTGAATTTATAATAAAATTTTCGTAATGCATTCAGGTGGTCGAGTCATGATGTTAACAATTGAACTTGGATGAAGCTGCCAATGGCTTGGATGCAGATTCAAACGACTAATGCAGCGAAACCGAAAATGTATATTATTTTCGATGTTGGCTTTTTTTAGCATTCACAACGCTGATGCGACCACAATTGTTGCTCGTCTCATGCTTTCGTTTATCGTTCGTTGCATATACGTGTTACGTTGACTCAAAGTTCGTACACTCATGCCATGTATTCGATGCGACGTCAACGAAAACACGAATTCACAATTAATTTCCCTTTGTTGTTATAATGCATGCTGGTTTAGTCGGTGGTCGCGTTACCACCAGCAGTCTTTTCGTTTCTGCTACATGAATAGCCAAATTTCAGATAGTTTGCTGGTTTTGCACAATAAGCGACAGATAGAAAAAAAGTCGTTTGATAAGTTGCACACTATTAAAATACAATGCTGAAAAGCAATAGCGTAAAAATAAAAGCGAGAGTTAGGTAGAATAGGCTATTACATTAAAAAAACACATCGCGTAGTTTTGTTTTCAATCTAGATCACATATCCTCTGAAATATGGTCTACTCAAGCTTCACGCTCTATTTTCCCTTCCAGCTGAATAAATTATGTTTGATAAATAATCTAATGAGTTTCGTGGTGGCTCTTATTTTTGCTATATGCTCATGCAGTAACCGCTAACCAAAAATATCAAAAACAAATGTCCAACCACCGAATGTAAAAAGCATCACCAAATATCCGGATGTGTATGATAGAAGTGCAACGAGAGCAAAAACAAAAATGTTTCGCATGAAAAAATTTCGTCATTTATTTCGGTAA